GCTATATAACTGGCGATTCTAATTAAATTTATGACGTGGCAAAAAGCAATTGGCTATTACACAAATAAAACCCGCTTACACTTCCACGAATTCGGAGACCTCCGCACACACCTTGGAGACCTCTGATCACACGTATCAGAGTAATTTGACAATCTGATCAATTGCCAAAGTCGCCGCGTCTTCGACCAAAATTTAGACGTAAATCAACGACTGCCGGCCCGGACATTTCTGCCCGAACACTTTTGCAGACCGACCTAATGAACTCTAAGCTGTAACTAGCCAAGTATCTCTGACCTCCGATATTCACCACCTTGACGACGTAAGTAAACAATCTTGCTTTTCAACCGATAAGCGTCTGTGCCTAATTCCACTCCAAGCGTCACAAGTACCCGCCTGACAGGTTCCTTAAGGCCTTGAACCCCTCGCTGCAGTGTACGGCAGCGACACATTCCCTGGGCCCTTGCAGACCCACTGCAGCAAATGGGTCCCAGACTGCCCGACCCCTTCATCTCCAGGGCCCTATGCCCCACAATGACTCACCCCTGAGGTAGTGCTGGCCCAGCTTCGCGCTGTGATTAGAGACCCAAGTCACCTCGCTATGGCTCCCAGGATCTCAGTCCCTTGTGGACCCTCCATGCAATGATGCCTGCACTGTAGCTCAGCTTTGTGCCAGGGTTGGAGACCCGAGGTGCCTCATTGCGGCTCCCAGGATCCCGGTCCCTTGTAGATCCTCTGTGCAGCAACACCCACACTGCCCACTGCTTCTGTCCAGCAGTGGAGCCTTTCAGGCTCTTCTGGGCAGCTGGATACACCTGCTGGGCAGCTCTCCCAACTCTTTTAGGCCTCAGGACCTCTTCCTTCTTCGTCCCTTGCCAACTGTGCCGCGTGCTCAGCACACAGCTGCTTATATTTCCTTCTGGGGCTCCACCCCCAGATTGAAAATGAATCTATTAGAGGGGCTGCAACTGCAGTTCCCAATTAAGCCCACTCCTGCCCCCTGCTTTGGAGTAGAGGAGAAGTGAAACCTCTTCCTGGCTCTTCCCCTGACTGTCTCTGATTGGTGGGTTTTACCCCACCAGTTGCATTCGCGGTATCCTAAACCTGGCGAGCCAGGCAAAGAAATCTTTCAGATTTAGAAGTTCAGATTTAAAAACAAAAAATTCAGTTAATTTTTCATAGAAATCCCCCATGGTAAAAAGGGGGGGAGAGGGTGGGGAGGTTAAGGAAGGGGAGAAACTTTTCTCACCCTGGAAAATCAAGAGACAAAGCAAGAGAAATTGCAATGGAAAAAATCACTCAGTGTGGAACACATTCTAGAGCACTAACTCAATGGAGTTAGAGAAGGAAGAGAGAAGCTGAAATAAATAGTTTTCTTCATCTTCTTTAATCCTCTTGTTATGTCTCACTGATTACACACACACTTAGGAGGCACAATCTGTAAAGCCACTACTGCAGCAGCTCTCTCTCTTTCTCTCTCTCTCACACACACATACACACACACTGGCATTAGGACTTTCCTAACTTTGACACCCACTTTCTGGAGTTGAACAGTCCTCTCATGAGTACTATTAATTTCTTATCTTCACTCAGATATGTATTTTATAATCATAGAAAGATGGTAAAAGAGGAATAAAAAAAATGCATTCTTATCATTACACCTTTACAGCACATTTCTGTGGAGATTCTGATTTCTTGTCATAGATAAGCAGTGCAAACCAGATCTCCCGGTCTGAATTAAAGTATAAAGAATTAAACAGGTTCAGATCTCTGAGTAACAAATAAGAAGTACTGAAGAACTACAAACATCCTGGTGTGTTCTTTCTCACTTTAAAGGATTTGGGTCAAGATTTTCACAAATGGGATGTAAAGTTCAGCTGCTAAACAAAGGGACACTGATTACTGAGAAGTTCTTCATAGGAACAGCACCAAGCAGTTCTTCTTTCCAGATATCAGCCACAGACAGCAGACGTCCAGCTAGTACTCATCCCTTCATTTCGGTTGGAAGAATGTTCCTGGCTGGACCCCTGCTATACTCCTCAGTCCTCTGACTCTCGGTATGATCCCATCTGCTGGTAGTGGTCATCACATAGAACAGGTTTGATGCTGCTCTGTTATAGATACCTAGAGATTATCCCTAAACACTGCCTGCTCCACAATACCATATGAACCCCTTTTCCCACCTCCACTACAAGTAAGCAGTTACCAGACTGGACCTCTGAGCGACAGCAAATGCTTGTTTTTGTTAATAGTGCTCCAGAAGCACAGCAGAGCAGGAAGCCTTTTACTATATAGACCATAGCACTTCAGGGCCCAGGAAACAGGCATTGGGCCACAAACTCTGGGTCACACTCTCTTTCCATAGCAGCCTATACCATCAGAGAAAGCTTAAAGCTTGCAGCAAAGGACCACTCCCCTAACTGTGAGCCATTATGCTTGTTCCTTGACTGCCGAGCCGTAATGCTTACACAGATCCTGCTCCAACAGTACTTCTAGCAGGACTTTAAGAGAGAGTTAAGAGAAGCCTCAGTAAGCTGGCTTCTTGGAAAGGAGATGTAATAAGAATTTCAAATAAAAAAGTTTGAGGAATTTCAAGCTGAAGTTCCAAAGAGGAACTTAAAGCCAAAGTTTCTTTTCATGCATTTGCTCCTACCGTACCTGCAGCCTATTTGTTAAATAACTAATGCCACTTTTAATTGTAATGTCTTTGTTTTATAAAGCTATTCTGGTCTTTGTTTGTAAGAAGAATGCATTGGCTATAGTATCCAACCAATACATGACTAGCCAACAATCCTTTCTAAAGGACTGTCTTGATGATCCAACTTTTTTCTGGTAAGCTATAAGAACAATAAATGAATTGAAAACAAACAAACGTTAGCAAAGTTTTCCAGCAGGATCTAAAACCAGAAGGAACTAAAACCAGATGCAAGAAAATACATCCATACAGTACTTTGTAAAATGTTTGGAATCTGTGGCACCTGAATATGGGAAAGAAATTACCTTTGCAAACATAAAAAGACATTTTCAGTGGAAGGGTCTTGTTACATTCACGTAGTTGAATTTGTCACATTTATTCTGCTGAGAATTGATCATGTATATTGAGATTTAAAAAAAAACATATACAAACTCCAAAAACAAAAAAATACCTAACTTCTAATTCTGATAGTAACTGCTGAAGCACTTCTGGTCCACTTCTGGGTCCGCCAGGGAGCATGTAGGGCCCCCCCATACCTCCCACCTCAGCGACTGTGCCTCCTGGGCCTGGGGGCACCTGAGGTCCTCCTGTGGACAATTGCTGAGTCGGGGCGCATGGACCCCTCCCCACCCATGAGCTCCCTAGCAGACCTGGAAGTACTTTCAATCTATTTCCGGGTTCGCCGCCAAGCACGCAGGTCCCCCTCACTCCCCGTGCTCCTGTGGGATGCTCCATCTGCCCCAGTATTGCAGCATTCATGAGCTGTGCTTGGTACCTCAAGGTATGTAAAAAACATTTAAAGCTGTGTCTATGTCCGAATTGCTGATTCTCTGAATCAGCATCGAATCTTCAGATTCAGATTCCACCGAATTAAATTGGGGACAGTGATCCAAATCAATTAATCGAATCATGTCCTTGATTCAGGCCAAATCCAAATGAGAATTGAATACAGCCTGTTTTGCACACCCTAATAGTCAGCATGTCCTCATTTTACTATAGTGTCAAAGATGTTTCTCATGAAGTGCTTGAAATGATATTGATTTTGGCTTCCATTAGCTGATCTTTATAATTCCTGCACTATTTATTGTCAATGGTTTCAGTGTTTCACTAAATGTAAGAGGGCAAGGTCTTTCCATTCCCTATGGGGACTGGAAGAGAAGAGGGTGCACAGAGCCTCCCTCTTGTGCACAGATAGAGGAATGGGGCAAAATTTGTTCCTTGCACTCTCCTAAATTCACTAGCTACATAAGAACTAACAACAGTGCCTCCAAATCCATGCTTTTCTACAGTGACCATACATTGGCTTCTTCTCCTCTTCCCAGACATGCACACATTTTCCAATAGCACTAGCCAACACCAAAGAGAGTCAATGCTGTATTCTCTTCATGGGTGATAAAGCACTGTTTTTTGTGTAGTGTCACTAAATGCATGAATACCCCGTCACCGCAAAGACAGCACAGTCTTCAGATGTTGTAGTTAATGTTTGTGCTTATAAAATGAATATTTTCTTCATTAACAATTCCCTCCTTTTTTGTTTAAACATTTGGGCATCCAGCATTTGGGAGACGACAGCAACAATGTTGATGTACATATTCAAGTCATCAGCATGAAAGCACTGTTAGTACATTAAACAGAGTATTCAAAGTGAAGACCCTTTCTTACCTTACCTATTTTATTAAACTTATAAAAAATAAAAATCCAAAAAATAAAATATCCAAAAAATTAGTCAAGCTATGAGCCCCCCTGAAGTCCCATTCTGCTTAGAAAACAAACTCTATACTAAAAAAGACGTGGTCACATTGCAACATTCATTCATTCTTTTTACTTTCAAAATTCAAAGGAGCTGAACTCAATGGCAGTGAAAATCCTTGCTGACATGCCATTAAACAGAATCAAGAAAGTACAACTGAGTATTTCAAGACTTAGAGTAGCTTCCATCTTACAGTTAAAAGCACAGACCTCTCAGTGAGCAGGATCTGTGGCTGGTTAGAAAGTCACAGTCCGGTAAATCTGGACCAAAAAAAGTCAGTGCTGCTCAATCTGCTTTGGGAAGTATAGTTGTTATCACTTGTAATGCTTTTTTTTGTTTTGCCTAGTCTTTACTTAAAAGCATAATGCTCCCTGCATTAATATGATTATCAGGATAATGAAAGTAATTAAACTTCAGGTTTAAATTAACGTGAAGTTTCAAGACAACGTAAGCTATGGTAACAGAATCCTTTTAAAAACAACAGGAGGATGTGAAGCTTAGTTTTTTGTATATCCAAATATATCCATTTTCAATACAAAATTTTGCACTCACAATTACCTTTCCACAACGTCCTCTCCATTCCAGCAAGTTGAGCTGTCTCTCATCACCAGGTCTCCATCACAAAGCCTTTCTGCAATAGAGGCATAAAAGGTTCGGGATCTTTTCATGTAGTTGATGAACTCCCTACAAATTAGGAAGAGAAAGAGATTAACAGCAAAACAGTAAATTTCTGGGGAAATTGCTCTGTCAAGTTAAATCGTTATTTATGGTCCCATAAGGTTAAAGGTTTTCAACCCTTTCAAAAAGGAAAAGCCAACAAAGTTAATTTGCTCTTATTTAAAGTTTATTTTTCTTTCTGATTTATTATCCACCCCTAGTTACCACAGCGCTAATAGATTAAATTGTGTTTAAAACGTAGTTTTAACAAATACCAGCAATACATCACACACAGATTGAAAATATGCATCTAATGCTTTTGTACCAACAGATAAATATGTATTTGGAAGTTCTATTGTTAGGTGGAAATTGTCTTTTTATAGCGTGAAGTCAGTATTTTTAACCTGACCTTGGGCCAGCAGGAGATTAATTAAGCATGCTGACAGTCCTGTTACTGGATGGAGAAGGCTACCTTCATAATAACCAGCACCGACCCACAACTACATACTCTTCCATTAGTTAACTTGAGTTTGTAACTCCAATGCAGAAAAATTATCTTTTTAAGGCTGGCAACTCTCCACCATCACCATCCATGGCACATAGTTATTGCATGCCAGTTTTCCTGTTGTTCAGCCTGGTGCCTACCCTGCAGTAATGGCCTGGAGAAACATGGAAAAAACTGGCCAGTGCTAATAGCCCATTGTCTGATGTTGCAAGGGGGAGGAAGAATCCCTTCCCAGAGACATGCTCTGAAACACGATTATATCTGTCTTGCTGAGCTGAGCTGAACTACCTCAGACACCAGTGTTCCTCTGTATTTTGAATACCAAGGAGTGAAATATTGTAGATTTTGTAGAATCTTGGATCTATCATTCTCCCATCGACACATAAATAATTACAGAGATCAGGTTTAGTAGTGGGAAGAAAGGGAGAGAGACCAGTTCTCATTATTTGCTCAAGAGCTCAGCATACCATACCTGGATATTATTTATATCAGGACAACACCTTACTGGCATGAATGGGAACAATTCAGTTTTCCTTAGTAAAACCTGATGTGTTTTGTTTGTATTACCATGTGTTGGTTATGACATGTTAGCTAAAATGTAATGGCAAAAATATATCTTTCCTTCATTACGAAAAGCGGAAGCGGGATCAGAGACACAGGATCCTATGTCCTTGTCTTGGTGGAAATGGTTATTTAGCGGGCCTGCTGCATTTACTATATCACATTATCATTTCTGTACAATCTTCCTGCTGTCTGAAGGACGGTAGAGAAATATAGTGGGAGTGGTTCCTGAGCCAGAGCAGCTAAGTGTAACCCTGGGCATGCATTGAGGGCCCTTCCAGGGCCCTCAAGGCTGCTCCTGAGTTGTCTACTCTTCCTAATCACCGGTTTCTGGCATGCCAGAGCACAGTGAGCAGGCAGGGCTTGTTTTTTCAGTAGAAAGCCCAGGATTGTGAGGGATGCCACATGGACACGGCATTGGAACCTCTGATTATATGACGATGGCAGAGAAACTTTAGAGCTGGCTACACAGCGCTGTTCTCTTCAGGAGGACAAAAATACAACCTCTTAAGAAAGTCTACTGCTTATGTTATTCAATCTTCCCAAAGGCTTTGAAATCCTTTGCATCTCTGTGTATATACACTAGTTCAAAAATATCTTAAGCTTCAGAATTCTAGTGTATTTTCACTTCCTACAAAATCAAAATATTTAGATTTTAATAAAATAGACCTAAACTTGTTTAATAAGAATTTGGGGCTTCCTAGTTCTTTCCATAATAATAAAACATTATTAAGTGAATTCTAAAGTTGCTGTAATCAAAAGTAGGTCATTCCTCAATCGGAGCTCACAATGGAACCAACAACCTCATCATATTTTGTTGAGCTACGTTGACAGAGTATGTCACCTTGTTTTCATTCTTACCGAGAGATTTTTTTCAAACTTCTGGATTTGTCATTCTTTGAAGCTTTCAGAGGCAGAGAACTGGAATAGGCCGGGGAGAATAAGCATCAATCAGAAGAGGTTGGGGAGTAGGGGAGAGGCAGGAATTCAGGCAAATGACGGAAAGAAATGAGAAACAAAAGAAAAAAAAAGTAAAAATTATTTGAAAGAAAAGGTCATCAAGCACATGCATAGGATAATATCAGAAAACAAATAAGGAAGAAAATTATCATGAGATTTTCCATAGATGTAATTAAAAGATGTCAATGCATTTCTGAAACACACACCAGTGCTTTTCCCGAGACATTTTCAAACAAAAGCGCAATTACCAATGCAACACACACACAAAATGCTAAAAAAAAATTCTGTGGATTTAAAATTGACCATACCCAATAACAAATTAAAGCGGTATAATTATGCGACAGGTACTAAGCATGGGAAAGCAAACAAGAAAAAAATGGCTTTGAGTGGGCTCCACATGGGAGCAGACTTGGAAAGTGTTTGTTTTTCAGGGTAATGAGGAATTTGTCATCTCTCTTAATAAACTCCAAGTACAGATGTTTTGTGTTGTTTATGTCTGAATGCTCTTTAGGATGGTACCGAATTAGAAGAACCTTTTAAAGTAGAAAATACAGCTCTTCAAGCTCATATGTGAGGAAAGGGTTGAAGGGATCACTATAAGAAGACCTAAATATTCTAAGGCACCTGTTGCAATTGTTCCAGTCCTAGGCTCGATGTCCACTGTGAATTCATTTTCTTCTGCAGGAATTCCAAACTGGGTAAAAATCTTTGTGCGCCATACATGGCTTGGTATCGAATTCTGCTGTCACACTAGTGAGATCGGAGTCAGAATGTTTATTCCCACCTCAATGCTCATGCATAATGTAATGGCATTGCTAGGAAATGCACATGTAAAAGGGAACACAGACCCTGGCATATGTGTCAAAACCAGGTAATTCTTACTGAAGAAAATGGACTAGATCTGCAATAGCATCAAGCAGCACAAGGCATATGTGAGGGTAAAAAAAGGGTCTTTAGTGGCTGTCAAGTTTCTTAGAGATACTACTATGATTTCATTCATACAGTCACAACCTCTACCCAGAGTTGCGGGAGCTGCTAGGAAAGTTCTGTTCTCCCCAACTGGAGGTGTTCTGACAGAGGGCCAGCTATACACAAAGTCACATTATGATTGACAGAAGTCTGAGCCAATTGGGACTTCCGCATGTGCTCGGACTACCGAGAACTGCTCAGAAATGTTTTATTCTTCTCCAAAAGTAAGCTGATTTTCACTGGGATTAATGATGCGTTCTGTACTACATCTTTAATGCTTGATTTTAATAAAGCTATGTAGTTTTTGATTCAACAGACAGATTTCATTCAAATAAAATAGATGGAAAGCATTTCTGAAGAAATTCAAAATTAGTTATTCAGTAATAAGACCCATGAGTCATAAAATAACAATGAAATCCTAATGTACTATTATTGCAACTCCTGCCTCTTCTAGCTGAAAGCCAAGTGTGATGTCATAATTCTTTGTTAAGCAGAATACATTTCTGTAATTACAGGTAGACCAAGGCCCAGCTTGTGAGCAGCACAGACAATAAAGGTAAATATTTGGTTTTGTCAAGTGTCCTTATCCAAGCCAAAATAGTACTTTGTGCTGAGCTCAGTAATAAAATGCCAATTTTCAGAAAGAGATACTGTCCATGCTGTGTGCTTTCATATACCATCATATGCCTTCACTTTTCTTGTCATCCCACCTATATGGGACAGTAACCTCTCTGTTAAAAAATGACTACAACAGCAAAGTTGCAGGTTTCAGTTAACCTCTGAAGAGTACTATGTAGTACTCACATCTATAACTTTTTGTGGCAATGTTGTAAATATATTCATATTTAGAGATTTTCTAACAGACCAGGCAGCATTTGTTCCAATTTCCACTATCATGCCAGTGTCTCAAAAGAGACAGTTAGTGCAATTAAGAAAAAATGTGCAGGAACTGAACTGCATTGGGATTAAAGAAAGATAAAAATTCTGTAGAGACATTCATGAGTTAGAGAAGAAATCTAGCAAAGTATATGTACACCAGGGGTATTTACAGGTGATGGCAACCTATCAGAAGTCTATCAGTGCATGTGATTCTACATGGTGCTAACCATTTTGTACCCCACTCATCAAACCCTTTTAATTGTAAACTTAACTTTAAGCATATCGGTCTTCTCATTAGTTAAGCATACACTATAGGACATAAGTAAAAAGACTACCCTTTTCTTCAATGAATTTCATCACATGCTTAACTTGAAGCTTCTATTTAAATCTCACTGCACTCAGTGGGATTTAATTATGTCAGAGCACTGAGTTACAGTGTTAATAACACTTTCCATTTTCTCCTTGATATAATGTAAGCAGTATAGCCACTATTAAAACTTACTGCTTAGTCACAGGTACCACAAAATGGTGTGTAATATTAAATGTGATTTGCCTTGCTGATCACAGGGAAATACTGTTGAAAAGGATGGAGCTGGGTGTCTGGCCAGACTAAAGTCATGGGAGCACTGCACTGCAAAGAAAGAGGCATTATAAGGAATGCATCTAAGTCAGGGCACTAGAAACAGTGATTTCAAGAGGAAGAAGAAAGGGAGAGGGGAGGGTGTTTGTTCATGTGTTGCATGTGAGACAGCTAATGCAAACTATGAAGATCAAGCTTAATTTCCATTTACTTAAAAGTACTGTTTGCTTGTGGTTACCTCCTTTTACTGCTCAGAGTAGCAGAATGGGTCAATGTGAGAGCCTGTGTTTCAGTCACTTCTTTCACTTGCACTGCGTTGTCTGGCGAAGGCTTCACTTCTCTTCCTTTAGGCTGCCCGCACACTTTATCAACCTGTAACAAAGCAGGAGGAGGAAAGAAAACGTAATTATGTTTGAACTGAACAACTGATTTACAGTAGCAGATAAACAAGTTTGGCTCTTCTGTTATGTTATTATGCACAGGGGATCTCTGCACTGCATGGCAAAAAGGCACCTGGAGAATATTAAGGAAGGATCCCTGTACTCAATAAAATATGGTATCAACAGGCAGTGCAAAAATTAGCTGATTGCTACAGCTGTGCCATGCTGTAGCACACTTAATAGTACACTCCAACAGCAAGCCTACCCCCCCTGTACTACACTGGACTCTCCACTTCATTCCTTGTCCAATGTGAAGGGAAAAGTGTGGGTGGGAAGCATGGCATCTGATGTGAAGGAACAG